TCTGAAGTGTGAATTTCTTGCTGTTCCCTCCCCAAACACCTGAGACGTCTGCTACCAGCCCCACTTCCAGCTGCCTCTGTCCCCCTTCGGGGCCCCCTGCCCCCCAGGCCGGCTGTGGTCAGTCCCAAGCAGAGCCTCACAGGTGCGAAGGCCAGAAGGTCCCATCGGACCCGGCTAGTCCGGCCTCCTGGTCACCGTGGCCAGAAAATCCCACCTGCGGATCCTGCCTGCGGGGGCCTGTTCCTCCCTGCTGGGACAGTGCCACTGTCCGACCCCCAGCGTGTGGGTGAGCTGGGGCAGGGTCTGAGCCGTCTGGTCTCCAGTTACAGACACCGTGTGATGGGGAATCCCAGTATCGACAGCCCCAAGGCCGGGCGCTGGGACAGTTTGTACAGGGGGGGCTGAGAGCCATTGAACCAAACTGTGACCCCTGGGTATGGTGGGATCCACTTCAAGCCAGGAGGTGCAGCAGCCCCCCTAGCACCCCTTGTTCCAGCACCTCTGCCCCAAGTGTTCAGAAATCGAGTCAGGCTCCACAAATCCAGAGTTTGGCTTAAATATCGGAGTTTTGTGGTGATTCTATTGGCGGTTCCAGCAGAGCCCCGTGTATCCGATCTTAGCTGGGATCTGGAGCGAGATCAGATCATCAGAAATCAGGATAATCCGGAGAATGGGGAAATGCCACAGGGCCAGCTAGCGGCCACGGGAGAGAGCTCCCGCTCTGACCCTGGCGTCCTGGGTGTCCGGTTAATGCAGAGAGCTGCTAATGGTGGGTCAGATAAACGGGGTTCTGCTGTCTTTTTATTTGCCTCTGGTTTGTGCCTTCAGGAGTCAAATTTCCAGGCTTTTCTCTGCCGCTAGGAGGGCTAGAACTTACAGCTGTAAGGAAGAGCTGAGACTCCCCCTAATCCCATGAGTCCAGGCGCTGGGGCTTTACCAAACCCACCCAGTAGCAGGAGAGGCACAGTAAAGTCAGGCGAGCGGCAGCGCTGCATTCACCTAGCCCGGGGGAGAGGCTGCTTGGCAGGGAGCCTCCCTAGGAGGAGTTTTGTCTTGTCTCCAGTCTGAGTTTATCGACAGTCAGTTCCTCTCCCCGGCTCAGAACCAGGGTCTGACATCGGCTCAGGCTGGCGGGTGGAGAATCAGCCCCTGTAACGTGCAGAGACTCCCCGGCTGTCTGACTGCTGCCAGCACAAACCCCAGCATGTGTCCCCCGATTGGACCCCCCGGGTGAGGCAGGTTCCCCTGCACGCTATCGATAGAGGGGTAAAGAGCCATTCCTCCGGGTGGGTCCCCGGGGGCGGGGGCTGTAGCCACCTGGCCAGGCTCCGGGATTGTGCTGTCTCACGTCGCACGTTGTGATCCGTAAGCGGTCAGTGCCGGGCGCTGCTGACCCGTCCCGGGGGAGGGTCCCTGCTGCGCTTTCTCCCCCTGGGCCTGCCCTGCCCTTCCTGAGCAAGGACTGTCACTGCCCGGTCCCATGACCCCCATGTCCATGATACCGGCCTGTGGCATCGGTCCCACCCGGGAGCGTCCCCAGCCCCTCCTGGTACCCCCCCCCAGCACTGAGATAGCAGCAGTGAGAGCTAATTCCCTGCCTGTCCCCGACACCTGGTTTCCTTGTGGCCGTGCCCCTGACTGAGCGACAGGGCGGAGGGTTGCCGGGTGTCTGCCCCCTTAGCGCTCCCTCTCTGGGGCTGGTTTAGCCCCCTCCTGACGTCTGGCCCATTGGTCCCGGCTGTGAGACTGTCCAGCCTGACCTGCTCCCATGGACACCGGCCTCCCCAGCGCTGAGAGAGGGGCTCTGCTCGCCCGCCCCGAACCCTGCGCTGGGGGGCTGCTGTTCTGTCCCTGCCCCCCCTCCCCAGCTGCTACCCTGCCTCCCCCCCTCCTGCCCCCATTCCCCCCCATATTTGACCCCTTCCCTCCTCTCAGCTCGTGGGACACTATCCTGAGTCCTCCATCTTAGCAGCGTTACTCGCGGCTCCTGGCGGCTCAGGACTGGAGCGGCTGCTGCTCCGGCTTTCCCCACCAGCAGGGGGTGCTGCTCATCCCCCGCTCCCTGCTGCGTGCTGTTCTGGGGGAATTCTGTGCCAAACAACTAACAATTCTGCGCACAATTTTACAATTTTGCATATTTTTTGTCAACATAACACAATATAATCCTTCCAGTTTCAATTTTTTTTATTTAGTTCAAAATATCTTTCAGCAAGTATGTCTGTAACAGTACAGACAACAGCGATTCAGCAAATGTTTTTTGACACATAGATTCCTTCCTAGGCATATAAATACGGAGCACTGAGTAATTCATTTAAACTACAGTACGGATTTCCGTCCGTCCCCCCCCGAAGCGGTGCAAAGGTGGGGGGCAGTCGGGGTAACGGCGGAGCTGAGGGAGAGGGAAGTAATTGCTGGTCAGGAGCCTGGGAGTGAACCTGGAGGGTTGTTGGGGGTGGTTGGGAGAATTATGGAACAGGTTGTTTGGGGGGAGGGGGGATTGTTATGGGGCTGGGAAGCCTCCCCCTTGCAGACCCCGGCTGACCCCAGCCTCTCCCACTCAGCGAGGCACATTTGTCACGGAGTCCCCGGGCGATGCTCTGGAACTGCTCCCCACAAAGCCAGTCAGGACTCTGGGGAGCCTCCTCTCCCTTGGAGCAGACTGTCTCCAGGGCAAGAAGCTCACACGGCTTCACCTTCCTGGGTCTCTCCTGGGAGCATTCAGCATATGCTCCTCCGTGCGCTTCCCACAGCGAGTCCGCCCCGGCGGGGTCCTGGGGGAGCCAGAGGGTCCTGCCCCCCAACTTCGCAGTCAGACGTGACTCTCGGCCAGCCAGTAACACAGAGGTTTATTAGATGACAGGAACACGGTCTAAAATAGAGCTTGTAGGTCCAGAGAACCGGACCCCTCAGCCGGGTCCATTCTGGGGGCGCTGCTGGGTGGGGTCAGTGTGAACAGGGAGGGGGCAGCGGGACCCTGTGCGGTTGCTCCAGTCAGAGCAGGGTTAAGGGTGGGGGCCCTGTTCCCTCTCTCCCTGTGGGGCGGCTCCCATCACAACCCCTCTGGCTGCAGCCCTGAGTGTGTTGGGGGCTCCCTCTAGAGAGCAGGGGCTGGGCTGGGGATGGGGGGACTGGCCCCCAGAGCAGGGGGGGCACTGGGCTGGCCAGAGGGGCAGTGAGCACAGCGTGAGGGGATAAGGGATGGGAGCAATGCCAGTGGGGCGGGGGGGTCTTTCCCCTGCCACAGCCAGAGCTCCCCCTGCACAGGGAAACCCCCCCCACCGGTGGGTCCATGTGGATCTCTGTGAGGCTGGTGGGCACAGGGCCGAGGGGGACCCCAGGCTGCAGACAGCTTCCAGTAGAGGGGGATGGGGGTGTTAGAGAATCTCTAGCAGCTCCCTGTGGCTTAAACCTTGACCCAGCCCTGGGCCCCGGCTCCGTGTGTTTCAGGATTTCACACTCTCCAAGTGATGTACGGCTGTGATCTCCGGGGTGACGGCTCCAAAGGGGGTTTTTACCAGTATGCGTATGATGGGCAAGACTTCGTCAGCTTCGATAAGGACCAGGAGACCTGGGTAGCGGCAGATGACGCAGCTCAGATCACCAAACACAAATGGGATGCTGACAGGAGCATCGCTCAGGGACTGAGAGCCTACCTGGAGGGGACCTGCATCGAGTGGCTGGGGAAGTACCTGGAGTACGGGAAGGAGACGCTGCAGAGGAGAGGTGAGGGGGGCACGTCAGACCCCGGGGGTCACTGAATGGGGTGTATCCTCACTGCAGAGATCGCTCCCTCATGTCCATCATGGTCAGCGTTGTCCCTGGCAGCAGGGCCGTCCCTAGCTATTCTGGGGCCCTACGCAGCTCCCCCGGGGCGGGGCGGAGCAGGGGGAGCTTTGGGGGCGGGGTGGAGTGGGGGTAGAGCTGCGGCAGAGCAGGGGTGGGAAGAGGCGGGGCAGAGGCTGGAGCAGCACGCAGCTGCACAGGGCACAAGAAAATGTGATGCCCCAAATTCCCTGGTGCCCTACACAGCAGCGTACTTTGCGTGTGGGTGGGGACGGCCCCGCCTGGCAGGATGTTTCTGTTCCCCCATCGGGCGAGGCCCCAGCGTTGCTGCAGGATCCCACCCTGCTCAGATCCCCCCAGCCGAGCAGGGCCCCTCGGGGTGCCTGTGCCGTGGTCACGTGTATCAGAACTAGACATGAGAGCGCGGCTGCACCAGGTCCCGTCCCTCTGGCCAGGGACGGGGCAGTGCTGTCCCCTGCGGTGCATTGTCAGGGTCAGGGCGCTGCCGGCTCCGGCTGGAAGGGAGAGTAGTCTGTGGTCACTGGGCTGATAGGGGCGGTGAGGGACTCACCTGTCGGGTCTCCCAGTGCAGGGGGCTGAGCTGGTGCCTCCCACAGGGGTTCCAGCCCCCTCGGTTGCTGCTGCCCTGGGGGATCCAGCTCGGGGAGTTCCCTCTAACTCCATCTCTCCTTCCCCCCAGAACCACCACGGGTGCACGTGAGCGACCAGCCGAGCTGGGATGGGCTCACCACCCTCTCCTGCCGGGTCCACGGCTTCTACCCGCGGAACGTGGCCGTCGTGTGGCTGAAGAAGGGGGTGGCCGTGCCATGGGAGACGCTCCAGTGGGGGGTGGTTCCCAGTGGGGACGGGACTTACCAGACCCGGGCCACCATCGAGATCGACCCCAGCAGTGAGACCGATTATACCTGCTGTGTGGAGCACCCCAGCCTGGCGGAGGATCTGAGAGTGCCCTGGGGTAAGGGGGGGACTGGCCTGGGATGGGCAGAAGAAGTTTTTGGGAGGGTTATGAAATGGTTTTTTTCTTAATTACTATTATTATTAAGACTTTATTAATATGACTTTATTTTGTATCAAATGAACAAACAGAACTTCATGAGTAAAGTTTTATGAATGAAACAGCGTTCGTTCATAAAACCAGCTATTGCAATAACCGGCTAAATGGCAATAAAGCCGCTCGTTAAGTCCCTGCAGTTCCTGCTTATTGAGAAAGTCCACAGCTGTTCGGTGCAATTACCGTCCGCTTGCAGTTTCAGTTCATTTGCTGCTTGGATCGCTGGTCCTTGCTGTTCGGGTCACTGTTTTACCATTGTAACCCCTGCTCACTGTTTGCCTCCCAACATTGTAAATTGTTCATTACGCTTGTTTTGATCAGGCTCCATATTGTAACTCAAACTCCACTTTGAAATGCTCACTCGACTTTGCAAACCCTGCTGTACCCTTATTAACTTAGTTCAGGTGTGTGAATGAGGGATGCATGGATGATGGAATCAACCTCCAGCCCCAGCCTGGCCTGATAAAGTGAAGTGCAAACACCAAGGGCTGAAGATGCAGACAACAGCCCTGACCAAGTGAAGAGCCCACCCCAAAAAGAGAAGAACAAAGGTACAACAGAAGGAAGATCAAAGTCAGGTCCGAGGCTGAAAGTCACGTCTGCAATGGACGGGGGATGAATCACCAAACCCAGAGGCAGCGTGACACAGCAAGACCCAGAGACTCCTGTTCAAACTAAAGCCGATAAAAAGGACGGGGGAGATGGGAGACTTTGGGTAATGTTCTGCTAAGAACATGGAAGGGCATCAGTGCACACCCGACAGAGACCCAGCTCCTCCTTGTGCCCGGCTTTCCTGGCCAGTTACCACCACGAGCTGCGAAATCAAGCCAAGGAGTCAAGCTACGTTCAGGACTGGTAAATATACAGCAGCTGCAGAACATTTTGTCTGTCTGTCTCTGTCTCTGTGTGTGTGTGTGTGTACACGTACGTATGTACGAATTAGCTATTAGCTGTTGATTATAAATCAAATTGTGTTCTCATAATAAACGTGGCATCTTGCCTTCTCCCCTGAAAAGATCCTGTGTAGTTTTATCAGCATAACAACCCACCCCGCCCGCTCCTGTCCCCATGTGGCCTGGCTCTCCTCTCACCCAGCCAAGCTTCTCCTTGGCCCAGCCCCCCTCGCCCCAGTGCCGCCCCTGCCGATTCACCCTGGGGGCACAAGGGGGGAATCAGCCCCCAAACCCTCGTCCCAGTCAGAGGTGGGCTCTGGCTCTGCTCCCTGCTGGCGTCCACCTCCCCTGGATGTCTCCCCCCCGCCCTGCTTCATCAGGCTGGGTGCGCACGGCGCGTCGTGTAGCGCCGCACAC